TTTCCCTCTTAGCAAGTTCAGAGTCATCAGCATATAATTGAAGTTCAGTTTTTTGTTCCCGCATGCATCATCTTAGCTTACCTACATTGAACTTCATTTGCCATATTGCTGCCCACACATCCAATTTATGGACAATGGGTGCAAGGGAGTCTGAGCACAGTAAAAGGCACTCTGACCATCCGCTAGACTCCCCTTTCTCCAAGAGTGAAGCATGCTAAGCCCATCAACCAATCCAGCACTGGAGCACAGCAAGGAAATACGCTGATGGCTGCTACAGTAATTGCCAGCCTATAGCCTGCTAAGAAAGTCACTTTCTCCAACAGTCTAGCCTTTCGTTCTGCCTTTCCTTGCACCCAGCTCAGCCAGATCCTGTAATATGGTAGTTATATTGTAGCAAGGCAAAACAACTTTTCCCTCTCTTTTCCTTAATTTTGCTCCCTCTTTTCCATAGTTTTTTTCATTGATTTCTCTCTCCTTCCACCTCATTTTTCCTTGCCCCAACTTAGTTTCAACTCCTTATCCCTATCTATCTTGGTAGCAGAATGTACTTAATAGTAGTACAGTAGCAAACCATTATTAATATCACAAACAGAAGCGTGGGAGTTAGTATTTCCCCATGATCTAACAAAGCACTAAAAGGATGCTCCCCTCCCCTCCACCTTTTATATGCATAGTAATGGAACATTAATCTGCTTTAGTAGTGGAACAGAAGGTAGAATTCCCAGTTCAGGCACTGGGTTGTTATCATTATTATTGTGTTGGTGGAAGATCTAATAGCCCTTTGTAAAGGCTACTTTGCTGTATGACAAATGACATCATCAGCTACCGATCCACCACCTCACCAACACTGGAGTCCAGGGGCTTGCCTTCAATGGCTTGCCTCCTTTCTCCAAGGCTGGGGACAAAGGGTGGCACTGGGGGAACAGCTGTCTTGAAGTCACCCACTGGGCTGCGGAGTGCCTCAAGGGGCAGTGCTGTCCCCAATGCTCTTCAACATCTGATGACACCCAGACTGGACGGCCAGTCTGACTCCAAACCAGAAGATCCGGACCCGACGTTACAAGCCATGGCTGGATGGCTTAGACCAGAGGTGACCAAACTTGCTTAACATAAGAGCCACATAGAATAAATGTCAGGTGCTTGAGAGCCACAAGACATGAACAAATATTACACATGTGCTTTTACTGAAAATATGCACATTTGCTTTTTATTAACATTAAATGAGACTGCCAAAAATAAAAACAAAAGGGGTAAAAACAGATATTGATAATGATATTTATTTGCCCAATGATATTTATTTGTCTAAGAGAGAGAGAGAGAGAAAGGTGGAAAGAAAGAATGAAACAGGTGGAAAGAGAGTGAGAAAGAAACAAAGTAAGCAAATAAATGGGGGAGGGAAGGAGGGGGAAGGAAGAGAGAGTGAAATAACTTTAAATGTATCCTCCAAGCCCGCCCCCCACGTCAGCTAGCTTGGTTTGGAGAAGGGATTTTAAGAGACAAATGCCTTCTCCAAGCCAGCCAGCGTGGAGAGGGGGAGGCTTTGAGAAGACCTCCCCCACCTCAAGCCTACCCAGGGAGAGGAACACTGGCTGGGGAAGGGAAAGCCAATCAGGGAGGCATGCTTTCCCAGCCTCCCCGCCAAGAGCCACATAATATGTGTGAAAGAGCCACATGTGGCTCCCGAGCCACAGTTTGGCCACCCCTGGCTTAGACTGAGCTGACTGAAACTGAATCCAATGAAGATGAAGTTCCTGTGCCTGAGCCGGGATGGTGTGAGGGTAGGAATCCCACTCCCAACCTTCGATGGGGCATCGCTGGTGCCAACACCGGAGGTTAGGAGTCTGGGAGTGCTCCTGGACACCTCAACAATGGAGGCCCAGGTAGCAGCCACTGCCAAATCACCTTTTACCACCTCCAGCTGATCAGGCAGTTGGTTCCCTTCCTCGAACACAACTATGACACAACGACATCTTCCCGGCCGTTGCCGTGACTGAGTTGGGGCGTCTCTGTACATATATACTTATACTGGATTCAGAGATTGTACTCTGATGTGACTGATCCCCTTTACTTTCTCAGGGCTGACCAGTTCACAATAAAAAGTAGTCTCTTTGGGGTTTATATCTCTTGTGGATGGATTAAGGACAACTGCCAGATGTAGATCTTTATCAAAAAGTCAGGCACCATTGCTTGTGAAAGGCAAACAGCACAGTTCTTTATTTCACAGAGAACTCAACAGCCGGATGGGATATTTACACAGGATATTTTGTTTCTTTATAGAATAAAAGCGTCACTCTGCTTTCATATAGGCTGTAGGCTTATAACTCTAAGCTTGTCACAGATTGTCTTTAGTGCACAGAAACCGTTTGTGATTCCACTCTCCAGTAACTGACTGTGGTCAGTCTTTGGACTTTATCCATCTGGTTCCCCGAAACTGACTGGTGCGACTACCCCAGCTTTCCCAGTATCTTCCAGACCTTTAGTTCTTCCTGTAACCACCTTACAAGTTCCCTTGGAGCAGTGTATATGGTGTTTTGTGATTACTGAGGAGTTATACTGTTTCTCCTCTCCGTTCACTCTCCTCTCTCATTAGAGGGTACCAGTTAGGAGTGTTATTCAGCCACAGTTTTCCTCAAACCGCTGGCTTGCTGTTTAACTCAGCTCCAGAAGCTCCAGAGAGCCCTGCTCCCCTGGAAATTTCAACAGCCTAAAGGAAGATCTATGACTGTGAGAACAGATTATCGAACATGGCTGCCATCATTAAACAACAATGAGTACTAGCACTTTATAATGTCAGATGGTTTTAGAAAGTTTTGGGACTGTTTTAACTGTATCTGTGTGCTTTTATGTAAGCTGCCCTGAGCCGGCCTCGGCTGGGAGGGCGGGGTATAAATTTGATAAAGAAATAATTAAAATGTCATTAAAAGTTAGATTTATAACAACTATTATACCCAGTCTTTCTCCGTAATGGAGACCCAAAGGTGCATTGTTCTCCCGTCCTCCATTTTATCCTCACAACAACCCTGTGATGTAGGTCTGGCTGAGAGTGTGTCACCCAGGAATCTTCCATGGCAGATTGGTGATCTGAGTATTAGAGTATTAGTATTGTTTAAAAGCTATCTTATTCCACTTTACGTATCATGAAGATAATCTGGTGCAGGATGTTCCAGTTCCCTTTATTTTCAGCACCATAACTTCCATCAGCATTTTGGGGTTGGTGGCCAGTTTTCAAACATGTAGCATTATTTTCTGATGAGTTATGCCTTCCACAAACAGAGACCCTTAGCTTCCATTGCAAATAGCACTGGGGGAGTGTGGTTTGACTCAGCTGAGCTAAGATATTCCTGTGCCTCTCAATTTTGGCCCTGGAATGCCAATCATCTTGAAGCTTGGGGCCAATTTTGAATCTCCTAGATTTATCCTTTGATTGGTTATGCCTGCCATAAATGGACAGATGGACAGACAGGCCTATTCTTTTATTGCTATAAATTCATGGTAACAGTAAGCAAAGTTATTTGTTTTGGATCAGGTTCATATGGGAATGCCTAGGTAGAATCTTTGTCTGGGCAGCCCATGGTGGCTCTCGGCAGCCCTGTTCAGACCTAAATATAAAAATACTATTTTTTACTAATATAATATGCGTCTAGGTACTTTACTAGTCTGAAGAAAAGTATGGGGTGTAAATGGAAAGCCACTTCTCAAAGTGAACAGGGATCATAGGCCTACACCTAGACTATACCTTCCTAATATTTTTTTCCAAAACTGTCCCTACCTTGAAGCCTTGGAATAGCCTGTAAGGGTCTGTAGCAGCAAATGAAGTCCCATAAGAGGAGATTTTTAGTCATAACTCACAAGGTTCTGTGAAATTCTGAGGCAAAGTGAGCTCATCTGTCCAAACACATGATGTACCTGAAAGATATTTCTGTATTTGGTTCCATTGCCAATGATCAGTAATTTTATCTTCAACAGCCATGACCCCATTGCGGTGCATGTGGGTGGCTATGGCACCTGCTTGCTGTTTCCTAGTACTCCTACCTGGCACCTTCCACACTACTTTCTTATCCTTTTTCAAGCTCCCGTCTCCATTTTCTTCCTTCATCTCTTCACAGTCCCTACCTTTCTATAGTAATTATTCACATTCCTTCTTCATCTTTCTCTGTCCCCTTTGTCTTGAATGTCTATCCCTGTCCCACATCCCTGTCTCACTTCTCTAGCAAGCTTCAAAGTTTGCTAAAGGTGATAGAGGGATTATGGAGGCAGCATTGGGGTAGGGGGGACTAAGTCAGATCTTTCTCCAGGTATAAAGAGTAATGGATGCCTGAGCTCACAACTTGACTGTGATTGGTTTTATTATGGCTGTTTGTCTCCTTGATACTTTACCACACCAACAGATCCACTACCAGTAGAAAGGAAGGAGAAGGGTCCTGTACTACAAGAAGCAAAACTGAATATGAGAAGAGCTGGAAGAGATGAGGAAATAGTGGGAAATGGAAGATTTACAATCCCCCAGTTTCAGAGAGACACATCTTTCTAGTATTTGCCACATCCAGAATACCCTCTCTTCATAGCCTTTTTTCTTAGTAAAATTAATGGTACTCGGACTTATGCACTTCTATTGCCTTCAACTGCAAGTCTTTGCAAGACAGGGGACTATGACAGGGGTAACTAAGGGCACCCAACACAATTTATTTTAATGCTGGTCAGTCATGTACAATGTTACCCGAAAGACTTCTTGGCCGCATTTAAAAATGGATATATTTTATCCCCTTCCCCAATTTCATTTAATTGAACTTTATTTTTAAAATATGTACAGGGGAGGAAAGTGGCAAAAACTCAACATTCATCTTCCCACCAAAATAAACTCAAACATACTTAAATGGTAGATTACTCACATCCCCAGAGAAATGTAATTAGTGAAGACCCCCTTCATAAGAGCCATTTTGTCGTGGCACCCATTTCTCAAAATTCCAAAAGTGCCTTGAAGCTGAACAAGATTGGGGACCATTTCTCTGCAAAGAGCAGAACTGTTCCTAAATATCATTGTGAAGAATTCCAATGACTTGATATTCATTAAGGCCTTGATTAATCTTTTCCTTATATTCTTCTTATTTATTTGTAAATACATGTCCTGAAGTATATACATAAGGCATGATATTGTGCAGCCCTAAGTGGGAAAAGGTTTTGAGGAACACTATAAAGTGTTAAAGAATCTAGCTTTTCCAATGTGAATAGGCTTTGACTCCCAGCTCAGAAGATCTTCATGCTTCATCAGGTTTGTTAATTTCTTTCTTCACAATTCTATCCTTTTCAAAACAAGTACTGTGAAAGATGTGTACAAATATTCATGTTCTGGCTCCTCTTTTCTTTTTAATTATCCCTGTCTCTTCTGGGCATATGGTCTGTCTGTATCCATGCATGGTAAGATATCTCCAGTAATTCTAGTTCAAAATGAAAAAATCCAACTCTAGTTGCATTTCTCATCAAAATACAATATTTCTATTCAACCACAAGGGATAGAAGGTTTAGCATTTTGGTGGATTCAATAAGTAGGTCAAGACATGACTGACAATCTTACACTCACTAATGTGTTCTTTTGAGTCACCAAGATAATTTGCTTTGGGTTTATAGATGTACAGTTTCATCCTTATTGACTGAACATAGCCATTGCTTTCATTGACATGTGCTAATGCCTCACAAGGTCCCTATTGATGAGGGCAAATGGCTTAGAATGTGCCTTACCAACCCAGTCATAAACTACTTAACATCCGCATTAATAGAGAAGTCTATGAACATCTGTGGCTAAGTACAAAGTATTGATTACCTTTTGTGCTTTGTCTTTGTTGTTACAGGCAAAAAAACCACTGAGAAGAAATAGAAAGTTGGAAAAGGAAACAAAGCAACTGTTTAAACAAGAACAACTAAAAAGGCTCCATAAAGCACAGGTACTCAAGTGATTTTTCTTTTCTTATGAAACAGCCAACTTTGTCAAATGTATCTGGATAAGGTGGATAGATGGTAGGTGCTTCTTCTGGGGAGAGGGGAGATTGCTGCCTAGAGTCTATACAAAATCCTAGTGCTCTGTCCTGATCTCTCTTCATGTGCCTTTATATAATCATATTTTAATTTTCATTGTATGTAACTCAGGACATTTTCAGATGACAGTTTTTTAGACTACCAGAAGCTCTATATTTCCGTGGAGCTAATGTGGTGTACTAGTTAGTGTTGGACCGAGACCTGAGACCTCTACGTTCAAATCCCTATTTCACTATGCAGTTTGCTAGCTGGTAATGGTCTTAGTCTCCTGCCAACCTAGCAGTTTGAAAGCAAGAAATTGCAAGTATATAAATAGGTACCACTTCGGTGGGAAGGCAACAGCGTTCCGTGTGCCTTGGTGTTTAGTCATGCCGGCCACATGACCACGGAAACGTCTTCGAACAGCGCTGGCTCTTCGGCTTTGAAACGGAGATGAGCACCGCAACCCTAGAGTCGGATTCGACTGGCTTTCGAGCAAGGGAACCTTTACCTTTACCTGATGGTCTTAGTACCTACTACGGATGTGATTTGTCACTAAGCTAAATTCCAGGTTAAATTCACAATATCTCCAGTTAAAAGTATTTCATGTAGCAGGTCTTAGCAAAGGTCCCGTGACCGTGGAGAGCTGCTGCCAGTCAAAGTAGACAGTATGTAGATGGACCAATAGTCTGATTCAGTATGAACAGCGTCGTATGTCCATAGGTACTCCATTTCACAAGGGAGAATGTAAAGTATCTCTGTATTCAGGGGTCGTTTCGTAGAAAAAGAGCTAGGGGAACTCATTAGCATAACTCATTAGCATATACCACACCCCCTGACATCACAGACAGGGGTGGGGAGAGGCAGGGAGGAAGCAACTTACCCTCCCTCTTCTCCTGCCTCCTCCTGGCTGAATGAGGGCTGGAAGCAGGGCGGCCAGAAGCAGGGGGCGGGCTTCGTCATGTGCCCCGCCCCCGTACCTCACCCGGGGGAACTGCGATCCCGCGCGAACCCCCCCGAAATGACCTCTGTCTGTATTTATTTGTCAGGCTATCCAGCGGCAACTGGAGGAAGTAGAGGAGAAGCAACGAGCCCTGGAGGTGTTTGGCATTCAGCTAGAGAGAGAACTGCGAGGAGAATCAGGTAAACAGGAGACAGGAAACTATTTGAAGTTTCTTCATACAAAGATTTCTGTGTTCCTGAAGATCCTAGAAATCAGAAAATTCTTCATTTAGTTGAAAAAAATTCTTCAGAACTGAATTTATTATAAAAATGTGTGAAGTATGATTGGCAGTAGAGGAATTATTCTACTAGAACTTGTAGGGCTGATGTGCATAGGACTGCCATTTCCCAGGTCCAGCAGGGAAATCCCACAAACAGCAACGTTCCTGACGCAATGACATCATCCAGAAGTGACATCATTGTGTTGTGGACACTGCAAAACTCTATGGTTTGATCCCAATTTTACCATAGATGGTCACCCAAAAACTAGAGCATCATCCCCAACATCGTCGATGCAATGACATCACTTCTGGGTGACGTCAGTGCATCAGGGATGCCCCTGCCCACTCCTGGAATGCCTCCCAGATACCCTGGCTGGCAAGACAAGGGAACGTGGCAACCCTAGATGTACACAAGCTCCTGAGTTGTAACACAGCAAATGTGGTATTCAGTTACTTCAGATTGTCCAAACTAACTTTCAGTAGATAATTAGCTACATTATTTTAAAGAATACAATAATGATCATGCATTGAAAAGAACACAATAATGATCATGCATTGAAAAGAATACAATAATGATCATGCATTGAAAAGTTGCCTGTTTAACACACACACACCCTTAAGTATTATTCTGTCTTTACATTGACCCTATGGTCAGAGCACAGATTTTCTTTTGTGAATTGGCCCTCACCATAGAGTTCATGAGTTACCTATTACAGCAGATGCAGTTTTATTTTCTACTGACAACAAAATCTTTATTTTCTAATTCTTTTGCTTCTATACCGTCAGGTCCTCTCATAGGTCCAGAGAAGGCCAGGCTATTTCTAGCTTTGAGGCTCTTAGCCATAATTTTAAAAAATGGTGACTCAAGAGGTACATGAACAAGCTATGAAACATATGCCAAAAATTAACAAGTGTATAAATTAGTGGTCCTCCTATGCCACATCCAACTAGCCCTGCGTGCCACCTACTTTTTTCTTTTCTTTCTTTTTTTAAGTTTTTATTTTACGTTTTCCAAAAAAAATTTTTTTTAATACAGTTACATATAGGTACATATAGTTTTGAGTCACTTTTCACTTTCTAACCAGTTATATAGTCCTGACCATCTTTCAACAAATATCTCTTCATTTTCCCCCTGTGGTACCGAGTTTAACTTTTCTATTTCCGCTACCTCCATCATTTTATATCCTAGTTCTTCTATTTTAGGTGTAATTCCCATTTTCCAATATTTGGCCCACAATATTCTTGCAGCTGTTACAATATATGTAATTACATATTTTTCATTAAAGGTAAGCACTTCCGGCATCTGCTCTTAGCCATAATTTAAAAAAATGGTGACTCAAGAGGTACATGAACAAGCTATGAAACATATGCCAAAAATTAACAAGTGTATAAATTAGTGGTCCTCCTATGCCACATCCAACTGGCCCTGCGTGCCACCTACTTTTTTCTGACTACCAACTTATTTTCCTTAGTCTGGGCAGGGCTAAATACCTCTTTGAGAGAAAAAGTGGTCCTGATCACCTTATTTATTATTTATTCAAGTATACCTCACCATTTCCCATGGCTCAAGGCAGGCTAGAAATCTAAAACAAATAATATGGTAAAACTACAAATAATACCCCCCATGCCTCCTGAAAAGACCTACCAGATAAAACAGCCTTCCAGTGCCTCCTGATTATTTTGATGCACAACGTCCTGCTCACCTTCCCACAGAGCTCTTTCAATAGGGTAAAAACTATGACAGGAAAAGCACAGGCTGTGGTGGAACCAGGCAGGATACCTTCAGCAGGGAAAGAACATTATGTGGCAACCTGAGGCCTATAGTTGCCATACTAGGAAATATGAGAAATCGGTAGTTGTTACAACTCTCCTTAATGTATCCTCAAATGATTTTTCCAGGTATCAGATGTTCACAAATCTCTCCTTCTTGGGGAATATGCTCAAGTGGGTAGTGACCGACCAGCTCTAGATATTTGTGGATAAAAAAGAGATTATCTGGACACATTTAGATCTGATTTCCTGTCTGGCTTTGGAATTGAAACTGCTTTGGTTGCTCTGATGGATGACTTATGTTAGAGGAGAAAAAAAGAAACAATGATCCTGTTGATTCTCCTCAACTTCTCAATGCCTCCGATGGCATTCACTATCATACCCTTCTGTGCAGGGTGAGAACTGTGAGCACCGTGTTATGATGGTTCTGTTCCAATCTACTAATCCCAGAAAATGAGCTCCTAGAATACTGGTTGTTTCCTATGTATGGTGGAGCACTGGGAAAGTATCCTTGCCCTATGGAGAGCCAACGAGGGTGAGGGTTGAAGGTGCTGCATGTTTAATGTGGCATGTCTACATTGGCCTTAAGCAGGGGTCATTTTGTAGGAAAAGAGGTGCAGGAGCTCATTAGCATAACTTATTTGCATATGCCACGCCCCCTGACATCACCGGAAGTGTGTCAGAAGGCAACATCCACTGCTCAGGCTCCACTGGACTGTTTTGGATTGCTAGCTATTGGGGGGGGGGGAACATGCAGATCTGTCCTCACAGAGGAGGGAGAGCTTGTACCTGAATAAAACTTGGTCCTAAAGGTGCCACTGGACTGTTTTGGACTGGGAGGTCGGGGGGAGCTCTGCAACTTACACAGCTGCTTCTTGCTCTGACTGAGGGCTGCTGGGAGCAGGAGGCAGGGCTTGTTGCAAGTGCCCGCCCTCTGGGCTCTTTACTGCTGGAGCTCCGCTCCTGTGCGCTCCTGCAGGAAATGACCCCTGGCCTTAAGCAACATAAAATCCAGGTAAAATTACAAGACTGGATTCAGTCTCCCCTCCCTTCATGCAAGAAGACACTTCTGTGGGAGCAGGATCCATGATATTCATGGATTTCTTCCTTGAGCTGCACCACCCCATACAACATCCCAGTGTGCAGGGAAGGGTGGTCTAAAAATCAAATCAATAATAAATCTATGCCAATATTCAGTGTTGCCTGACTGTCATGAGTAGTTTTCCTGAAAACACAGGAGGCAGTAGCAGAAAGTGGGAGCTGAGTAAGATCAGTTGCATGGTTAAAGCTGAAGTTCTTGGGGTCCAACATGACCATAGAATACCTGGTACAAATTACCAAATTATTATCCATTTACCTGCCTTCTTCATCTTGAAGGACAGAAGCCCCTTTGCTCATTACTATCCTTAGTAATGTAATTTCTCTTATTAAGGTTACATTTTCCCTGTCTTTTGACTGATTGGTGGCAAACTAAATGCAGGTGTTCTGGAAGGAACAGTGATTTCTCCTCCACCATAAGAATCGCATGAAAAATCTTTTTCCAGCCCTGTAATCCACTCATGAAAACTATTAATTTTGGGGTTTGCTTATAACAACATTCATGTCGTTAATGTACAATTCCAGCTGATACCATTGCATTCATTCATCCTTTTCACAAAATAATGTGCATTATTATTTAATGAATGACAATTTCTCATTAGGTTAAGCTGTATTTAAGTAGGGTTGTGCTTACTGAGTTCAAGTGATTTAATAGGTATTATTAAGGTAATTAGAAAAACATCACAGTTAAGCAATAATATCGAGCTGCAGAGGCTGTGAATAACCAAATTTAGAGGCAGGCCTGCAAGCACTAGTCTTCACTGACATTAATGCAGCGCCCCTCTAATAATTGTGTGACTGCAGAATGAAAGGATCTTTTGTTAGTGGAAGCTATTCAGTCCAGTAGCTAATGAATAAGAAGAGAACATGCGTGGGGGTGAAACAAAGTGCTACAAAGGCTGACGAGCAAATGAGGCTTTGATGATCTTGCAAGTAGAACAACAACAATTTATGCATTAGAAAAATCAGAAATAATCTCAGTCCTGTGAATAATGGTGGCTATTATTAGAGAACAGACCAGGTTGAATGTGATTTGTGGCTAGGTATTTAATATTTTGTTTAAGGGGTGTTTGTTTTGTGTTATACTCCTGTCCAACTATTTATTTCTTGTACACTCTCAGAAGCTTAGGTGGGGCTCCACTGGTCTTGTGTTTGGGTACACTAATTAGGTCCACACCCATTGCCCCCTTCAACATTAAGTATTCCCACCTCATTCTCTGGTCCCTCATAGTATTTCTCAGTCTGTAGGTTCCTAACAGAGCAACTGGGAGTTCCAAACAGAGTACATTATGTTTCTTCGTCTCTTCCACATTTGGGCATGGCTACATAGAATGATCACAACTGCACCCAATGGGCAAGTTGCTACAGCTGTGTGTTTATGTTTGTAACCAGGGGTCATTTTGTAGAAAAAGAGCTAGGGGAACTCATTAGCATAACTCATTAGCATATGCCACACTCCCTGACATCAGGGGCCCGGCGGTGGACCTGCAAGGCCGGCGGGAGTGCGAGGAAGCCCCACCAAGGCCCTCCCTGGCCCCAGGCAGGCAGGGGTGGGGAGAGGCGGGGAGGAAGCAACTTACCCTCCCTCTTCTCCTGCCCCCTCCTGGCTGAATGAGGGCTGGAAGTGGGGTGGCCGGAAGCAGGGGGCGGGGCTTCATCGTGTGCCCCGCCCCCCGCACTTCACCCGGGGGAGCTGCGATCCCCCGCGTTCCCCCCCAAAATGACCTCTGTTTGTAACAAGTAAAATGCTATCTGCATGCACTTAATGGCTTCTCTAAGGTTAGAGGCAGTAGATCTCTGGACCAACTACTGAGGACAACTAGAGTTGGGGGGAGAGCTGTTGTCTTCATTTCCTGCTTTTGGGCTTCCTGGAGGCATTTGGCTGGGTCCATTTTTTGGAAACAAGATGCTGAAACAGATGGGGCCTTGTTTTCTTCTCTTAAGGGTATGGGCATCCCGACATGGGCCACAACTCTAACTTTCTTATGTTGTAAGGTTACTAGTCATTGGACTCGTAAGGAAGGCAAAACTTGACCCACAGGCTAATAATGAGATGACAAAGTGATCCAAGGACAAAGGTTTTGGGAATCAGTGCTAATTTTCCCACCATGGAAAGAATGGGCCTGAACAAGGGACAGCAGGAAATCTGTGTTTGTTGCCTGGTGCAGCAGATGGATTAAAACAAGGGTTGACTGACACTGCCTCTCTTGTACTCTGAGATCCATATGAGCACTAAGAAGCCACAAGCACTCACTACGTGAACATAGTACAGTGGGCAGGCCCGTAGCTAATGTGGGGCCCACGGGGCCCGGCCTCCTAGCATTTCTTCCGGGCTCCCTCCTTTCCGGGCTGGCCCCAAATTGAATTAATGTTATTATTAACTTTGATTAAATTAGCTGTACCCCCCGAGGCCCCCTCACCCCAAACTCCCTAGCTACAGCTTTTTCTGCATTCCTTTTTGCTTTAAGGCAAGAAAATGCATGATATGCATATGCACATCACATTTCCCAGATCTGATTTTAAGCATCTCTAGTTTTCAGGGGCTGGCCAAGAAGAGTGCCTGGGGATCCTTGAAATTAGAATAGAGGTTACTGCTCCAGTGCTCTATATCCTTTTAAAAAATCAAGAGTAACTAAAATTGGCTGTGTTTGAAACACATAACATTAACTTGTATGTGTGTGTGTGATCACTACAGTCCAACTACTTTAATTTCAGAGTTTGCTGCCTACCAAAAAACAAAACAAAAAACAACCCTTCGGTCTCCATATGATACAACTTTGCAGATATGGCAGTGCTATCCTGAAAACCCAATCTTGTAAATTTATTTCTGATATCTTAAACAGATTCAGGCACACAAGATGAAACTCAGCTGTTACATGAATGGTTTGAGCTGGTATCAGAGAAGAATAAATTAATGCGCTGTGAATTTGAACTCTTGATCAGGTAAGTAGGAACTCACAGTTTGCTATTAGTGATGAAAAATGTTAGACATGGGCAGGATATTCTTCTGTTCCATGCGGAGGATTTTCTTCCTGATGCATGCAGATGTCATTATTGAACTAAATTACTGCATTATGCCTTGCATAGCATATCTCCATTAGTACAGGGAGCGCAAGAGCTGCTTTTCTTATCTTATTGTCATTTGTAGCTGGAAGGTGTTTTACAATAAATGCACCCAAAAGCAGCAATCTGTTTTGAACATACATTTTCAGTGAACCAAGGCTATTACAGTTACTGTAATTCATATAGTGAATATATTCTCTTGTGATGAATCCTAATAAATCTTTAGGCACTGAATCCACAGGAAGGCAAATTGGCAAAAGTGCCAGATGAGCATCTTATAAAAAAAACAACAACCCAGAACTCCCCTACATCTATATCCAAACACCATTTGGAATTTATTTCAAAATGAGGAAACAAGGATATGTACAAATGTAATATCTTGAGAATGGTGGAAGTACGTGGACAGCTCTGTAAACATGCTTACTTCAGCTTTAGTGCAAGGTCTTTAAAGAACTGGTTCTACAGATTTTGAGATGGCATGGAGAACAGCTCACGTGCTGACAAGTCCAATGAGATCATGAGCACATGAATTGGTAGAACAAAGTTTTGAGTCCAGTGGCAACTTTAAGAAGCGTGCCGTGCACACAAAAGCTTCTACCTTGAATAAAACTGTTGGTCTTAAAGGTGCCACTGGACTCTAAATTTGTTCTACTTGAATGAGTAATTATTCATATGTCACTTTCAGCTCCTTGGAGGAATAGCAGAAAACTAATGTAATAAACAATAAAAGTGCTCTTCTGGAAATTATTTAATTGACCCACTCAATTAGGGTCCCCAAAGTGCCTCATATATAAAAATGAAAACATTTGAACAATCCAAAACAACATTTAAAATATTAGAAATTCAGTAAAATATTGACCCACTCAATTAGGGTCCCCAAAGTATCTCATATATAAAAATTAAAACATTCGAACAACCCAAAACAACATTTAAAATATTAAAATTCAGTAAAACACATGATGGACCTGGGTCAAGGCAGCAGGTGGTAGGGTGTACAGTTATGAGTACTCTGTCAACTTCCTCTAGGCTGAGCTGATTGAGCCAATCCATAATTAGACTAGAAGACGTGCATGGAGCCTCCAGTTCGTCTCAACTGTGGCAGGAAGGTCACGGTGGAGCAACAGGACTTTATCTGTGAAAAAGCTCACGAAAACCTCACAGCCGATATCCAATTCCCTAATGTTTGGTCTGCTCTGAGGCAGAGTAGTCAAGGACTAAATCGTTCTAAACAACTGAGCCAGGAATGAGCTCGCAGCCACAATCGTGGCCGCATAATACTCTCTCTTTGCAGCCTTGATTGCCATCTCATAGGTCCTCATAAACGACCTGTAGGATATTCCTGTCACTTTGTCGCGGGCACACCGCCACTGTCTCTCTACCTGTCTTAACCTTCGCTTCATCAGCCACAGCTCCGGAGTAAACTATGGAGCCAGCCTACCACGGGGGTGCAGAGGGCATCTGGGAGTGGAGTTGGCTATGCCAGTCCTCCACCAGCTCATCCAGTGAGCCGCCGGGGGACGTAGGATCCTGCAGGGCTGCCTGAAGCCGCATTGGATCCATTTGGCTCTGCAGGCAAGCTAAAATACACTTGCTGCCCAAACCAGGTTGTGGTGGGACATTCACATGGGCCTTCAAGGCAAAGTGGTCCAACCATGGCACAGCTGTAGCAGTGATCTGGTCCACCATAACTCCTGCCGCAAAGATCAGATCCAGCATGTGCCCTGCCCAGTGAGTGGGACCCATTACATATTGGGAGAGTCCCAGCGCTGCCATGGACGACACTATGTCCTCTGCCTGTGTGTAGGCCACGTCATCAACATGGACGTTGAAGTCTCCCAAGACTATTAGCTTAGTCCAGCTGGACACAGCCTCCAACAGGGACAGCAGGGTATTGGCCAGTGTGTTGGGTGGTTGGTACACTAGCCAAATAGCCAAACTCTCCATGGCCTCCCACACCAGGCCGGTGCACTTTATGCCACTGATGTTTGGTGGCTGGAGCGCCCTGAAGGAGTAAGCCTCCCGAATGAATAGTGCCACTCCTCCCTCCCACTCCCTAGTCTGTGATTGGTGAAGGACCGAAAACCCAGGAGGAGCTAATTGGGAGAGAGCAACTGTCACCCTTTCTCGAACCCAAGTCTCGGTCACACGCGCCAGGTCTGTATCCTCCTCCTGCAGGAAGTCCCGGAGGACCATGGTCTTATTATTTATGGACCTGGTGTTACACAACACCAATGTCAGAGGGGAGTAATTAGTCCTAGCCTCACTGCCAGCAACCCTTGGGATGGGATGCAGGCTGGAAGAGGATCGAGTCAACCTGTTTCTCAATCCCCTTCCTTTATAATCCTGCCTGGTCCCACTGCTATACTTTCCCCTCCCCAGGAGCACTGGAATCTCTAGCCCAGTCATCTCCCCTCAATACAAGAGGAGGACCAATAACCTTTATTGAGGATATGCCAAAAGAAACAAAAAAGTCATCACCCACCGGCAAAAGATGCTGATAGAGGGAGACAGATAAATCTCCCTTGGGAGGGAGTTCCAAAGTTTTGGTACCATGACTGAAAAATCCCATTTTCAGGCTGCCACTCATCTAGCCAGAGATGGCAGTGGCAACCAAAGCAGGTTCCTGGAAGATGACCAGAGTGAGTAGATGAGTTATGGCCTGCCTCATTCAGGCATGCTTTCATTTAAAGCAAAGTAGCCAAGGACATATACCTAGCATCACTAATAGCAGGCAAATAATTCTGCATTTTGAGATCTAATAATCTCTCTCTGTGTTACACGCCTTCAAGTTGCATCCAACTTATGGTGACACTATGAATTAATGACCTCCAAAGCGTCCTGTCGCTACCAGCCTTGCTTATATGTCTTGCAAACTGAAGGCCGTGGCTTCCTTTTTTTATTCAATCCATTTTATGTTGAGTCTTCCTCTTTTCCTGCTGCCTTCTATTTTGCCTAGCATTATTATCTTTTCCAGTGAGGCTTGTCTTTTTATAATGTGAGCAAAGCACGATAGCCTAAGTTTAATATTTAGTTTGCTATATGTGTTTGTTCATAATTTGGCTGTGGATAAATTGAAAGTTTTAAAACAGATGTGTTATCACCTATATGTGTTATCACCCAACCCAAGTTTTTGTGTTTCAGTGCATATTCTAATATTATTTCACTATTAGCAGTTTCTTGCACAGAGTTAATGAAGGATTTATTTTCAATCATGAGATCAGAAATCATGTTTATTTGGGTAGAGGATACTGATTGATCTTGGGGGAGGTAGAAACCACAGAAATGAAAGATTGCACACTCTTACCAAAAAAAGCTGGGCCATGAAAAGTATTGGCTTGCTTATGTTTGTCCTACTAATTTTAATCATGCATATAATGTACACATTAAACAAAACAGCAGAATAGGAATGATGTAGAAAAGTGTTTTGGTGCCTAACTCAGATGATCACGTTTTCACTCATGAAAGAGTTCACACCAGAGTACTTAGTGTGCCTGAAATCTTTTTTTTTGTTGTTGAGGGACACAAGGCAGATAATTTGGAAAGCATTAAGGATGACATTTTGCTTCACATGTTACATTTAAGATGCATACTGAAAATGTTCACATTTTCATACATGTATCAAGGCTGGTGGTTCCCTGCTATGTATTAGGCTTGCCAAGACCCCGCTGGGGGCGGGTAAATTCCCGCCCGGGAGGCCCATTACCTGCTGCCGGCGGATTGGGCTCCGGGGGGAATTCCACCCCCTGCCGGAGGGCGTCCCCAGCGTGATGATGTCACCTGGAGGTGACATCATCATGCTGGCCATGTTGTGGGGGGGACACTCTGTGAATCGAGGGAAAACTCTATGGTTTTCCCTCGAGTCACGGTGCCCCGCCCCCAACGTGGGCAACGTGATGACACACAGGGAGACTCCCGATGGAGCCAGGAATCCCCCCCGCTTTGCAGGTAAGTCGACTTGGCAACCCTACTATGTATACATGCTGTAGACAACTTTGAGTTTGCTTTTATATTAATTTTGCACCGACTTGGCAACCCTACTATGTATACATGCAAAGTGTAGCACATATGAAACTATCCCATTTTATTTTCACAACAACGTTGTGAGACAGGATGGGTTGAGAAATGGTGACTAACCAAAGTTTCATAGACTAATACTTGTCTCAGTTGAGTGCTGTCAGCACATAACATGCAGAACATCTCTTCTTCTCAGAGTCATAGGCAGCTCTTTGTCCATACCATTCCCTTTTCTGGAGCCCCTCAAGAAATCAAATATTGGTCTCTTTCCATTGTATAAACAGAGGAATGGATTACGCATAGCCTTAGTTTGCTTACCCATTAGTAACTCTGGAAAAGAGCAAGGATCTTAAGTTCACCCCTTCTGTATTTTTAATCGAGCTGTTGAGGATTAGTTGGTTGTCATGGCCCTTTTTTATTCTTGTGCCCAGAGCCAAAGAGCTTGAATTAGAGGATCATCAAAGCCGACTGGAGCAGAAACTGAGAGAAAAAATGGCCGCTAATGGTAAGCAAATTATTGAATTGAGTTGTAGACTGTGATGCAGATATACGTGTGTATCCAAGTCAATTGGATTTAAGAGATGCCCACTGGAGCTCTCTCAGATTCCAGTACTGGCCCACCATTCCACTCAGCAAAGTCCGATGAAGCCTTCCTCCAAGTGAAGTGGCTCTTCTTCCAGTGGAAGAGCCACTTAAGTTGGAGGATGAATCCTTAAGATGGAGGAAAGCTTCGCACTTTTCGGAGCAGAGTGTTAGGATACAGGCCCCTGTTGTGGTTGTTTTTTAAATATCTCCCTTGGTTTGCGTAGCATACTGCTTTTAGATATGGCCAGATCCAAAGAATGGCACAGCTGACTACATACATCTTTCTCTATCCCTGTTCTGCTCTCATACTAAAACTCAAATGTTTAAGATGATGGAACTATTTGCAGGAGTTAGGTACCACTAGGGAGTTATTTATTTATTTTTTTGCACAAAGGGTATATTTCCCTTAGGGTTGCCACCACCACCCCCAGTTTGCCAGGGGTCCCCCGTTTTGGGGGTGGACCCCCCGGTTTGCCAGGGGTCCACCCCCAACACCCACAGCCACCCATATTTCTCCCTTTAAGTGTGTTTCCTCCCAAGCGTGAACTCCGCAAGCTTGCAGGGAAATGCCAGCTTCGTTCTTAAAAGGGAAACGCAGCTGCTCTTAAAGGGGAAACGCCGGTTGCTGGCTACTTTAAGTGCAGGGAACTGCCGTTTCTGGAGATCCGGCGCACGGGCGGGGGGGGAGGCAGACGTCCCCAACTTGATGTCATCACGTCAGGGATACCCCACCCCCTCCAGGAAGGCCCCCAAAGTCCCCCGCTGGGGGTGGAAGATGGACTTGGCAACCCTAATTTCCCTGCAAATATCAAAGCTTTTGAATGTGCTGGATCCTAGCTTTAGTTTGAAAGAGGGCTGAAGTATAAGTGGCAGCCAATCTACGCATGTTTTAAACTGGGTCTTTTCAAAGTAAAGTAGTGCTGGGTGTTCTATTCAGAGAGCATACTGAGTTCATGGGTGGGAAGGACTAAGCCTTCTCCTCAACCATGGCTTTCCGCCCTGCAGTCTTTCTCCCTTGGAACTTTTCCCAAGCTCAGTACCATAAGCGGTTCACCTGGGAGATAAGTGCTTGTGGGCAGAGAGTACAGAGAGGAAAACCATAGTAAGAGGGTGTGGGTTGTCTCTAACCACACACTTTAATTTTTAATTTAAAAAATCAAACAAAAAACAATGGACTCCTTGTACTCTATATGCGATCATCACTTACTGAAATTAGGAAACTAACTTTTATAGTTGTTGTTTTTTTTCTTTTACATATGTGACAGACAGTTTGGATATTGAAAAGGATCTGAGTGATGAGTATGAAACTTTTGATGAGATGATGAAAATGGTTGAAGAAAGAGATAAGCTTATATCTTCCCTAGAAGAACAGAGGATAGAGGAAGAAGGTGAAGATTGGCCCTTAGAAAAGTCTGTGTTGTCCAGAGGATACCAATTCAGCCGGACTTGAAGTAATTCTAGACAAATCCTTGCTCTTTCAACATTGTGAACACCACCAATGGAAGATTGTTAGAATCTTATTGTAGAGGAAGGAATTATGAACTGCAATTGCATGAGGAAAGACTGGTATTCCCATTAAGAACGGGTTACATGGAGATTATATATGTAATAAAAAAGAGTGAATTACTTCTTTTTGTGCCTACCTGACGGACTTGTACTATGGAAATTACACCGGAAATGTTCATTGTTTTCTACTTCTGGAATTTTAATTCTGAGAGTTCTCAAAAGAAATACATGCTTTAGTTCTTCTTGATACCATAGCACTTTCTATCCATCTTTCTGTATTTGTGAATGTGTCATGTATATATATATATCTTATTTTTTAAGATGGTCACAAGTCCATTTATTCAGATTTTCATAATCAGCATCTTCAGTACAGCAGGGGGATAACTTTCAACACAACTTCTCATAGTGAAGAAAAATGGTTTTGTGATTGGATTTTGTATCCATTTGTAAATAAACTGCAGAAGATGTGTTAGTGCAGTGTTAGGCAGAAATAATTTACCAGGTGTATTTACAAGGTTTAGTGCACTGTACATATTAATTGAAAATGTAATACAGTGGTAAATATTTGCAACTTGTGGTACTGTAATGTAATATTAAAGGGATTATCCTTGACAAAAGGGATCAAGTGAACCTTCTGCAGCTGTAACCAAAGACCATGGCAAAATATGTTGAGAAAACTACATACTACTGCAGGGCTAACAGGTATCTTTTTAGGAGATACTCTCATATTACATACCAGTGGTGTGTATAAGCCAGAACTGTGGCATATGATGACAGCACAGCAATTGGCTACATTTTTATATGATGCCAGTATTTGCTAGCAAGACATAATTAAACCATGTTTATGCTACTGTTAAAAGAAAAATGCACCATTGTGTTCCAGATTAATAGTTTGCACATCTGTACCCAGGGCTGCTCTCCTGAGCTCAGTTAACATGCACTAACATCCCACTGAAAACACTGGGGATTCAGGTAGCCTGTTGCAGGATTGCAGCTCAATGATGCAAGAACTAATCCCCAAACAGCATTTATCAATTAACTTTGTATAGTCTTTGAGACACCTTTAATTATTGTTGGTGGTTTTTAACTTTTGGATTGAAATTTACGGTTGAAGGACTCAAAACAAGAGGAATTACTTCTGTTTAACAGAGAGGTTTAACAAATACTTCACTTTGTGAATGGTGCTTAAATGCGGTTGCTACGTTTTAAATACCCCAATGCCCTACTAAAAGGAGTAAGAGGAAAAGCAGGACGGTTACAAATAATGCATAACGAACCTTTGTGAAATGCAGCTAAAACTAATAGTATGACTACTTAAGAGCCAATATTTGTAGGGTCCTGGTTTTTCTGCTGCCCTGGTGCTTCTGAAAAGGGTAGGGGGGAAATGTTGTGTTCTATTCTACAGTGTTTTTGTATGTATTATCGTGTGTTGTTTACATAGAAATGTAACTTATAAGCATACATTTCCCTTTTCATATACTTTTCTGTTTGTTCTTAAGATCTATAATTGTTTACAGAAAATTTATTTGGCATATCAAACGCAGTTATATTGGGAATTACACTACAAAATGAAATGTTCAGTACCTGAGTACTTTGTCTGTACTTATAGATGCATTTTTGTCTCTGTGTGTATTTTTAAGTCACATAGCATGAAAAAATTATTAGTATTATTTTGGGGGGGGGGCGGGAATTACACTTTGAAATGCCTGAAGGTTTGCTAAATTAGAGTTTGGTCCCATTTCCTCCATGACGTGAGCACTTGAAAGGATAAGAGGCTGCAAAGATTCCAGTTGCATCAGCCTTTGCCACACAAAGTATTGACTAATAACCACTCAAAGATAGAAAGGGAGTTCCTCTATTTCTTTCTGCTACATGTGTGTGTCTGGGTGTGGGGCAGTGTTGAAGTAGTCAGCACGATCCATAGGAAAGGAATCTGAGGCTGAATGCATTTACTGCTAAGGATTCTTTTGTGTTTCATTTTCCTAAATATAGCCTGTTCAAATTGCATTGCATGACATTTTGGGTGCTTATGGAATCTTACTTCAGTCCACAGAAGATGCTAATAAACCAAAATTCCACAGGTGTCCAGTGCACATCAAAGTTCTGTGTGCAGAGCAGTTCCTCATCACTCCGTGTTTGGGTATTTTTTAAAGAGGGGAGTATTTGTTCTGGGAGGCGTACGAAGCATTCCTTGCACACGTGAAGCTCCATGTACAGACTTGACTTTCTGTATGAATGTCAGACCTCTTAGGATTGGAAACCAAATGTTTTTTGGAAATATTTAATGGGCTTTACACATTACAAACAAATGTGTATAGTAGAGACTCAAAAAGCAACTTCCGGAGAGATGTGGGTGGGCTTTGAATTGTTGGAGTGCTTAATCAGTTTCCCACTTGCTCTTTTTAAGATCCCAGCCCCCTCTCCCTTATGGGATACATAAGCATTTTGAACCCAAAGAAATGTGATTTCAGGGAGTAGCTGGAAGCAGTGGACTGGGGGAAATGTTATTTCAACTTCTCCAAATGCATTGCTCCAGACTTCTTACTTAAAAAAACAGACAGGACTTAATTGCATATTGTGGCACATAATGTACACTCAGCCCCTGAGTTGATGGGAGCTGGTAACATTCTACAATACATCTCCTAAAGGGAACTGTTTTTTTCTTGACATTTGGGTTTTACTATACAATTGCATGGTGGGGGGTTGTTCAAACAGCGATGCTCCCATGGCTGGCATTGCACAGGCTTGGCCTTGTGCTCAGTTTTCAGAATCAATTATTTTAGAAGGAATATAATTTTAATAAATACTTGAAATATTATTGGATGTGAGTTATATCTCACCCAGTGTGCCTATTTAGCTATTTTCATATGTTAACACACACATAGGACCAGGGCTATTTTTGGGCAGGAACGCACAGGAACGGAGTTCCGGCTAGCTCCCGAGTTGGCCACACCCAGCAGGAACTCATTAGCATAATAGGCCCCACCCAACAGCAGAAACTCATTAGGATTGGCTACATTAGGGGTGTGTGGCCTAACATGCAAAGGAGTCCCTGCTACAAAAAAGCCCTGGGTTTTGACAACAAACAAGGTAAACAGAATAAGAAACAAAAGGTGGGCGTGGCTGGATGACCACAGTTCTGGTAACGTGGGGGTGTGGCCTAACATGCTAATGAGCCGTGCTGTCAGGAGTGTGGCCTAATATGCTAATGCATTTCTGCTGTTGGGTGTGGCCTATTATGCTAATGAGTTTCTGCTGGGCTTTTTCTACAAAAAAAGCCCTGCATAGGACTATATTTGGTTGTGGGTATCAGGTGCTATCTATGTGCCAGTCTGTCAATGACCTTGCCCTCATGAGAGTTTTTTCTCTAGTTGGTGCTATTATTGTGCAGTGCAACAATATTATGGAATATGATCCTTGTATCTCAACTATTCTGAAATCAACCATATATGTATTATTTTTTGAAGAATAAACAACAATTCATTCCTAAAGCTCTAATCATTTTCTATACATACCCATGTCAAAACACCTCAGAGCAAATAGATACAGAAACTTATTGTTAAGTCCGATGCTTAACAAAATAGAGAGTGATTTCAGCAAAACTCAGGTTTATTTCAGCTCGACGATCACTTCTCTAACACGGTACAACTTCTGATAGCCCGAACAGCTTTTCCATTGCAGCTGCTCGGTATTTAAACATTCCGGGCTAATGTAGCCACGCCTACTATACAGTTATCAACCTATCAGGTTGAGCGAATAAGGACCAATCAGAATCTTTCCGCTTATATACATTTGAACCTGATTGGTTGCATTAGTCTTGAACTTCAATCCCTGTTCAAGACGAAGCTTAACATTGCTTCCCTATGAGATGTTTCACATTACATCTTAACGTATTCATGGCAGCTTCTGAATACATTACACTTATCATCATTAAATCATCATCCTAATATGTTTGGATGTAGGATGAATCCAGTTTAATTACTATGACTTCTCTTCAAGGTCTCCTAAGAATTTTAGCCTGTAGAGGACTAGGAATTTTTAACACAGAGCAAATTTTCAAGCTGTGGCATGAAGTTCTTCATGGGCTGTTAGGAGAGCCGTCAAACTGGTACAGTTTTACGAGTTCCAATAGCACAAAGCTATCAAAATGCAGATGTCAATCTTAACAGGAATTACACAAAATATTCAGCCCATCGTTCATCAGCTGCTGTGCATCGTTTGGAACTTATCCAACACTGCTGTATTGTTCACCAATCTCTTTTTAAAAATCTTACTGCAATGTCTCACGCACTCACCTCTGTCA